TTGCTCACGTTGTCAGTCCCGGGGATGGGGCATCCGCAATTTTATCGCGGCCCGAGGGCTGGGCATTTGCGTACCCCGGGGCGACCCCCGGGCATTCGACACGCGTGGAAAGTGCCATGAATGAGTTCATCGGGAAAGACGAGGCGTTTGTCGAACAATGGCTCGTCCGTCAGGGATTAGAGAAACTTGCAGATGTTTTTAACGGTATATTCTCAATTTTAGATATTTCTTCATTACTTGTAAGCATATGAATATAAGCGAGAAGGTCAACTATATTTTGTTTATCACAAAACAATCACTGACGTGAACACGACTATTTCGCGTTTCGCATTCAAAACTAGCCTGGCATTTTTTAAATTCATGAAATTAGAGTTAAAATACTTAAGGTTTGCGAATTCAAATGATGCGATCTTCAAGACAGATCTTGCGAGCTTATAATGCAATGCATCATCATTTAAAATGTCTTGATTCTTCACAGAAAAAGTAGCCTGCGAATACAGGCGCCTATCATAGCTCGCGGCTGGGGGCACGTCCGCCGCATTCCCAACTATCCTCTAGCAAACTGTTAAAAACAAATGTAAAGAAATAAATATAATCAGAATCAACTAACACGTACTGTTGTCCTTGAAGTCTTACCGTTGCATTACAATACTGAACAGTTGACCGTTTTATTCACTGATTAATTAAAAAACTGCAGAGGTGTTGGAAGGCGACGATCCCAAGGGCGGGGCATTTGCCCTCTTTCTTCGTCCCCACCCCGGAGCATTTAGGCAGCTTATGTGTCCCCACCCAGGGGAATTTGCCCATTTTTTTAACAAAAATGCTAATACCCGGGAGTTAGCCCGGGGGGGGGGGTAGGTACTGCTGGAATTGACTGATGCATAATGGAACTGAGTTGATTCATAAAGTATTTGCCTCTAAAATGTTCTTTTAGAGACCAAAATCAAACACCAACAAGATCTTTCCAATGACATCCAGATCAGAGTCATTGGGTCATTTGAGTCTGAAATATGCACGGAATTTGGTGAAAATTTTCTCAGCTACACTTGGGTAAGAATTGGAATTGGCCGCCTCGATGATGCTTTCTTGGGAGTTCTTGAACTGGAAGCAAGCCCTTGAAGGTCAATTACTGCAGCAAAAAGATAAGAAAAGGAGAAAAAAAGGCAAAAACAAAATTAAATTACCGAAAAGTGTAAAGATAAAGGTCACTTTTTCGTCCAAAATTTTGATTTCTGTGCATGTCGGAGCAAAAATGTCATAAAACGCCATGCTAGTGGAAAGAAAGGTATGCTGTCATGTTGCAAAAGCCTTTTTGGGTAGATTGGAGCTAATCTGGTTCATATCCAGGCTGAAAATATCCAAAACGTCCTCAAAAAATGCGTTTTTGCCGAAATGCCCCGGGTGTCAATGGGTTAAGTTACTAACACCTTCGCAGACTGTGCCTTAATTAGAAGCAGCCAATGAAGGTTCGGTTAATTAGAAAAGGTTTGATCAGAGCGATTTTTAAAGAGTTGTCGCCTTATCAGAGTTTTTGTCAGCTCTTTTGCAGAATGTTTCCTTTATACCGCTTAAAAGCACGCCTTACCTTCATGCTCTCCTTCCCCTCTCGATATTACCTCAACAAAAACCACGTACAGTACAGTGCTAGCTTGTCAACGTTTTTTTATTCGAGCTTCTCAAGAGCTGTCATAACTTGACAATTATCATTATTGATTCAACATAACAACAAGGAAATGTCACTAGCCGCGGAAAAATGTGAATTAAATGATCAATAGATCCGCTACTGAGCTGATGGATTAAAAACACTAATTAAAAGCTCATTCGCAAATGCAATGACGCTATTCAACGTAGAGAAAACTGCCCTTAAGCACATGTCAACAATCTTTTGGTTAAAATCATAAAACAACAAACACCTTACGAACACTAGCATCTAAACATTGACGTTCCCGCTCCAATTGGCCTGGTGCGCAAATGCTAATTTATACTCAAAACAACGGAACGAAAACTAAAATAAGATGTTATTAGTTCTACAATAAAGCAAACAACTTGGTTTGCTTATTCATCCACAAAGAAAGTAAATAAGTTGGTAATAATACGTGAGAATGCCCATTCCCAATACAAGCTTTGAGCGATGTATTTAAGCTTCTCTGAAAGGCTGTTTCTGGAAATCTCTTGATGATTCTTAGCGCCTCTTGCGTGTTTGGGGTACACAGTCTGTTTCCCAGAATGTTCCGACAGGAATGCTGAAGTATGTTTTGTGTTTCTCGATAGAATCGGATGCGATCCCTTTGGAGAAGCTGCATGTAGCATCTTCGTTGTACGGTCTGCCGTGACATTCTTTGTGTGGGGAATACACGCTGGTGGCTTCCGGGCTGTAGAAAACTTCCTTTCCGTGATGATAAGGACCGTTTAAAATGCTCACAGAAACTACACTGGGGAAATGAGGAACCAAATCATTGTCATTAACAACCCTCCAACTGTTGTTGACCAGTTGATCGTGTTGCAGAGCATAGTCGTAGTTACCAACCCGAGGCATGCCAAACGTGTACAAGATGATGTTCTTACGAGGTGCTATGTTGTGATAAGCGAGCCAAGTACTTGCCAAAGAAGCCATTGCTCCTCCTAAGGAATGTCCTGTGACCCAGATCTGATACGATGGATTCTGCGAAACGAGAGTGTTCACTTCCGTCCTCATGCTCGGCCATAACGCATCAAAACCTCTCTTCCACGAGATCTGCACCTCACCGTTTAGAAATTGTGTCTTTGGGGTAAGCAGGGTTTCAACAAATGTTTGAATCGCTTGATCGAAATTCTCAGAGCCACGAAAAGCGACCACAACAGCGTTCATGGAATGCGAAACAGCAACATAACCAGAACAGTTCTGACGGGCGAAGCCACAATTCTTTGTAACCACTCTCTTAAGTTTGAACTTGTCAGATGGGAGAGCATTATCAAGGCATTGTTGAGGATGTTCTGGGTCGTATGCTACTGCTGAAAGAAGCAACATCTTCATCGATAATCCAGTATCGTAACGTGACAATTTGTCTGCACAGTGAGATCTCTTCACAATATTTTCCGCTCGGCTGCAAGGATTAGTGAGCACAGCACCAGGCATATAGCATTCGTTATCCCTCCTACACCATCTACAGCGAATTCCAAAGAAGCGCGAGTTTACGCAGTCCTCGCAGTTGTTGTCGTTACAGATGAAGGCCATCACTGCATTCAAATGTGAAAGGAACAAAAAGAAGCACAACACTGTACTAAACATGTTGAGGCGATGGAAAGCTGAACTGAATTAACTGTAAGCGACCTCTTAAACACTTAAATAAGCCTCGGCTTCAGCTTCAAGGAATCATGTTACTTCCTAGAATGTGTAATTAGACTACAGTCGTGGAATACCCTTGAAGTCGACTGTGTCAGTAATACAATAACCTTACGAAACCGAAACTTGCACCTCTGCAATTTTCAGTTTCCAGGTCTGCAAATAATCCTACTTACGGGATTTCTATGACATTTAAATGTAAATTGTTGGATTCTGTACGGGTAAATCCCACCCAAAGCCAGGATTAACACAAACAGAACAAAAAATGCACTCTTATGTTTACTTTACGAATTATAATAATAGTTTTGTTTTTAGGAAAAACTGCATCTTCCGGTCAGTCTTACACGTTAAAAATATTTTATGAGCTTCCTTGTTCTTTGGGTCTGCATTTATTTTATCTTTGTTTCTTTAAGGCTGTCAGAGCTATACACTCCACTTCCTTGTTCTGAAAGCTTACTAAATAGTAATTACAGTTCAATCATTGTCTTTGCTGACAGCTCTTGTATTTTGTCTATATCATAAACGCGTTTCAGCTCTTAATCTTTTTCGGTTTCGATTGATAATCATTAAAAATACAAACAAGCCGTTGTTTCCGATTGTCTCACGGAAGCTCTCTGGTCTGTTCACAGACCCTCTGGCAAGTAACACAAGCAAAAGCATTTACCGCAGAGGATTTTAAACGCTATAGCGACGTTGCTTTTTGATCCTTCAATGTCGGCTCTTCCTATAATTGCGAAGCCAAAGACTGCGAAGGCTGCGCCACGATCATCGCAATTCCCAAAGACTATAAAATAGCAAATCACATGTCACCACCGTGTCAAGGATCCATCAGCCGAGCACCATACGATACGAAGCGGTTGTCGTTACTTCATTCTCTATTTCTGTATTTTTCCAGGGCCACCCTCCTACTTTGGAGCTTTTTCGAATCCCCTGAGGTTAATAATTTTTGCTTCAGACAGATATAGAGGGATTGTGAACAGACTTGTTGACACGCAGCGTGGGGAGGAACGTTTTGTGACGACAAGGCGTGCAGTTACTAAGATTTTCGACGAAGTCCCGAGCAAGTCAGGTTTTTTAAACTTGATGCAGTGAGTGGTCATCGGTGTCAGTGGTGTAAAAACTGAAACGGGCTAACTATGTTTGCGAAACCAAACGGAGCTGATCGGAGCGAAATAAGTCATGAAGAGGTAGTGGAAACTCAGTTAAGTAATCTAACGGTCATACCTCTCTGTGGTAACCTAAAGGGGACTAATGACCCAGGCAATCCAAAATTTACCGTCCATTCCATTCCCTGTAACATTTCCAACAAACCGTCTCGGTGCAATGAAAATTTTTGAGCAAAAATAGCAAATTGCGTAACGTAAAATTGTCACGTTACGGCAAAGTCCAATTTGCTAACCGACCCTATAGACTTGTAACAAGAGTAAAAAAACAAAAAAAAATCGTCGAAAACGTAGCCCAAAGCGCGAACCCAGAAACGACTTCGATTAAAGGCTTGGGATGTCACATAAACATTGTGGACGTTTGCGAAGGGTCCAGTAATTTGCGTACATCGTAAAAGTCTGCATGCGAGCCAAGAGGCCCATCAGGCCGGAGCTTATCCCGGTTTCTGTAGCAT